TTGAAGAAATTGGTAGAATTCTTTTATTTCATCCTTACTGGCTTTAGTGGTTGGTGAGTTAATTTGAATAATAGTTATATCAACTGATCTTCCCTGTAGGTGCATGTATATTATCCTATCACAGATTTCTTTGATATGCCATGTGATTAAAGTTTTACTAAAGGTAACACAGAAATGGCTGCAAGCATACATTGACAGAGAACTTCCAAAGGTTCAAGCCGGATTCAGAAGATGTCGTGGAATAAGGTATATCATTGCTGATGTCCAATGGATCTTGGCTGAAAGCAGAGAATATCAGAAAGACATTTACCTTTATTGACTACTCAAGGCTTTTAATTGTGTGGATCATGACAAGCTATGGACAACATTGCAAAGTATGAGTATTCCGAACACTTAATTTGCTCATGACTGATCAGGATATGTCTTTTTGACAATGAATGCAAACCATTCCTCTTCACTTTGTCATTCCCAGCATAGTAAACCATGTGGTTCTCAGAATCAAAATGGGCAACACCGGTCCATTTCAGCTTACTAGTGCCTAAGATATCGATGTTTATGCGTTCCATTTCATTTTTGACAATTTCTTATTTTTCTAGATTCATACTTTGTACATTCCATGTTCTGATTATTAATGGATGTTTACAGCTGTTTCTCTTCATTTTGAGTTGTGCCCCATCAGTAAATGAAGGTACTGAGAGCTTTACTCCCATGGGCTTTTCTCCATTCGCGTCTTCACGGTCAACTCTATTTTGAGGAGGCAGCTCTTCCTCTGTCTCATTTTGAGTGCCTTTCAACCTGAGGGACTCATTTTCTTGCACTATATCTGACATTGTTTCTCTGCTATTCATAAGGTTTTCAGTGACTAAATATTTGGAAGTAGTTTGTCTCTCCTTCTTCCTAGTCTGTCTTAGTCTGGAAGTTCATCTAAAACCTGTGCACCATGGATGACCCTGCTGGTATTTAAAATATTGGTGGCATAGCTTCCAGAATCACAGCAACTCACAAGTCACCACAGTATGATAAACTAACAGACAAGTGGTGGATTTTGCCCATAGGATCTTTCAGTATTGCAAGTTGAGGCTTGCATTTTTTCTTCATTTCTTTCAGCCTGAGAAATGATGAGTGTGTCCTTCCCTTTGGTTTTCTAAGTTCAGGTCTTTGCACATTTCATTATAATAATTGACTTTGTCTTCACAAACTGACCTTAGAAATTTTCTGTTCAGTTCTTTTACCTCCTCATTTTTTCCAGCCACTTTAGCTCTGTATGCTCAAATGCAAGTTTCAGAGTTTCTTCTGACATCTATTTGGTATGTTGTTTCTTCCTTGTCCTTTAGTGACCTTTTGCTTTCTTCTTGTATGATGTTCTTATTTTCTTTTTCTTTTTTTTTTAAGGTTTTTATTGTGGATTGAGTGAAAGCTTACAGGGCATATCATCAGTTTTACATTCAACAAATCATATACCTTGTTTCATTACATTGATTGTAATCCCTTCCATGTACTATCAGTTAACAGTATTTCTCTCTATTCATTTTAGCTTTTTAAAAAACAAACAAACAAAAAACCACTCAGGCATATATAATAATTTACATCTCCAAAGGGCACATTCTGCAAGTCTGCCTCCTGGCCATCAGTTCTTAGTCCTTCTCTTCTTAGTTGATGAATCTAGAGTCCTCAGCCACACCCCCTCTCCCTGCCCCCATCTCTGCCTCCATCTCTGGCACTGCTGCTTCTCTGGATAAGGTCCTGCATTCTGCTTGTGCATTCCTCTCTTGATGGTCCTAGGGTCCTCTGTTTCTGGACTGTAAGATTAACCACTCCCCTTTTTTTTTGTTACAAAACTTCCACCTTTACATTTGTGACAGTTGCGATTAGTCATGATAACAATTATTCACTATTGAATCTTAGAATCTTATCCCCATCTCTTTTCACCAGACCCATCTAGACAAGATGACAGCTATTCAGTGGGGACTCTTTCTTTCCCCCCATACTCTTAAACTAAACTCCCTCTTGAAACCTTGTAAGCCAGTCACTTTGTGCCTTTATTTCCCCCTCATTTTAAGTAGCCAATGTCTAAGTTGCCCGTTCCTATCTACCCTGTGTACAGAGCGGATAACATTGATACTTGATGTGAAGACTCTTACCCTTTCTGTTGGTATTTAGAGTAATTACCACTCTGAGTATAGGTCAGGTTCATGATGAAGATGTATCTTCTGTCACTGTAGCTGTTCCAGTCTGCTTGTCCTTTCTAGTGGGAATGTCTCACCTCATAAGGTTCTGGATGGGACTCAGGATTCCACCTAAGGTCCTATATTCTATAAAGGCTTTGCACGAGGCCTATTTCACTGGGCAAGTTGTTGTTGTTGTTGTTGTCAGGTGCCATTGAGTTGGAACTGACTCATAGTGACCCCATGCACAGCAGAACGAAACAATGTCCGATCCTGGGCCAACCTCACTACCACTGCCACACTTGACGCCATCAATGATGCCACCTGGCTGATCCATCTTGTTGGGGGTCTTCCTCTTTTTCTCTGACCCTCCATCTTACCCAGCATGACATCCTTCTCCAGCTACTGTTCCCTCCTGACAATATGTCCAAAGTATGAGAGACGGAGCTTAGCCATCCTGGCCTCCAAGGAGAACTCTGGCTGCACTTCTTCCAAAACGTATCTATTGGTTCTTTTGGCAGTCCATGGTACTTTTAGTATTCTCCTCCAACATCACAACTCAAATGCATCAATTCTTCTACGATCTTCCTTATTCACTGAGCCCCTTTTAGGTATTCCAACTGTATGATGTTCTTGATGTCATCCCACAACTCTCTTGGTCTTTGGTCATTAGTGTCTAATACATCATATTTATTCTCGTGATGATCTTTAAATTCACGTGGAATAAATTCAAAGTTGTATCTTGGCTTTCATGGACTTGTTTTAATTTTTTCAGCTTTAGCCTGAACTTGTTTATGAGCAATTGATGGTCCCACAGTCCCCCTGGCCTTATTTTGCATGATGATATGGAGCTTTTCCCCAGTTCCTTTTCACAGATATAGTCAATTTGATTCCTGTGTATTCTGTCTGGTGAGATCCATGGTATAGTCATTTTGTATACTGTTTAAGAAAGGTTTTTGCAATGAATAGCTCATGGTCTTGCAAAATTCCGTTATGCAATCTTCCACATCATTTCTATCACCAAGGCCATTTTTCCAACTACTGATCTTTCCTCTTTGTTTTCAACCTTCGCATTTAATAACTGCCACTAATTATCAGTGCATCTATGTTGCATGTTTGATCATTTTCAGACTGAAGAAGTTCATAGAATTCTTCAGTTTCATCATCACTGGCTTTAATGGTTGGTGCATAAATTTCAATACGAATGAGATTAGCTCTTCTTCCCTTGTTGGTGTATGAATATTATCCTATCATAGACAGCATTGTACTTCAAAATCTATCTTGAAATGTTCTTTTTAATGGTTCTTGCTACACTATACCTCTTCAATTTGTTATTCTAGGCATAGTAAATCATATGATCGTCTGATTAAAAATAGCCAATACCAGTCCATTTCAGCTCACTAATGCCTAGGATATCAGTCTTTATGCATTGTATTTCACTTTTGAAAAGTTCCAATTTTCCTAGATTCATACTTCGTACATTCCATGTTCTGATGATTAATGGATGTTTGAAGCTGTTACTTCTCATTTTGAGTTGTGCTTCATCAACAAATGAAGGTCTTGAAAGTTTTACTTCATTCATGTCATTATGGTCAACTCTACTTTTAGCAGGCAACTCTCCTTCAGTTACATTTTGAGTGCCTTTCAAACGTCATCCTCCGGCACTCTATTTGACAGTGTTTTGCTGCAATTCATCAGGTTTTCAGTGGCTAAACCTTCAGAAGTAGTCTGACTTTCCTTCCTAGTTTGTCTTAGCCTGGAGTATCTGCTGAGGCCTGTGCACTATGGGTGACCCTGATGTTATTTAGCTGGCCTAGCTTCCAGCATCCCAGCAACAGGCAAGCCACTACAAACAGACAGACACATGGTGATTTCTCTGTTCATATCTAAATACACTTTCTTGAAAATTTGTAGTCAAAGCACCTTCAGACACAAATCTCTTGAGTTTCTTATTCTTTTAATTACTTATACATTAATATTTAGCAAGTTATGTCTCAGCCTAAACATTAAAATGATCATTTAAAATTTTGTTATTTTCATGTGTGATTTACTGTTGGATAAGCACTGGTCTGGTCACTGCAAGGTTGGCAGTTCAAATCCACCAGCCTCTCCTAGGAAACCCTATAAGTGGGTCAAAACACTCAGCTGTTAACAGAAAGGTAATGATTTGAACTCACCAGCAGCTCCACAGAAGAAAGATGTAGCAGTCTGTTCCTGTAAAAATTGTTACCTGCCATTGAGATGGTTCTGTTAAGTGCTGTCAAGTGGTTGTGACTCATAGCGACCCTGTATAGGGTTTCTGAGATGTGACTGGTGGGTTTGAACTGCTCACTTTGTGGTCAGTAGTCCAGTGCTTATCCTATAAGTCACACCAGGACTCCTGGCAACTTTTTATAAGGTTTCCGAGGAGTGGCTGGTGGGTTTGAACCACCTACCTTGTAGTTAGCTGTCTAGTGCTTATCCTACAGAGCCATATAGCCTTGCAAAACCTCTAGGATGGTCCTGCTCTGCCTTATAGGGTTTCAGTGAGTTGGAATCAACGTGACCACACTAGAGTTTGGTTTTTAGGTTTGGTTAGTTTCTGAACTGTTACCTCCTCTTATTAGCTCCTGGTTTCCCAGCTCAGGGAAAGTGATCATATGTAGTCTATGATGTAGGATAATAAATGCATATTATCAAGGACTTTTGTTTTCAATATCCCATACCCTCTATGTTGTTGTTGTTAAGTGTCATCAAGTTGGTTGCTCCTACTTTATAGATATAGAAATAGTAAGTATAAGTTTTATGTAGAAATGACTTCTGAGACTTGAATATTGTTTTCCTGCTTCATTTTAGATCTGACCCTTCTTTTCAGATGCCCAAAGAAGTTTATGAAGATCCTGAAGTTACTGGAAAGAATCGCTTTAAATATTTTGAAAGGTAAATAGTAGTCATTAATGAACATGATAAATGTTCATAATGCTACCATTTTAAGTGTATGCAATGTGCCAAGCACCATTTTAAGTGCTTTGCATGCATATATAATCTTCAGTATGGAAATGTAGGATGGGGTGTTTTTTTCTTATTCTACCAGTAAGGAAGCTGATCACAGAGAGAAGTAAATTGCTCAAAGTCACATAGCACAGCTGGAATTCCAGCTAGGCCTGTCTGACTTTAAAGGTATTGATTACACATTGGAATGCATATTTGAAAACAAAGTGAAGTCATCAAATGAAAGGCAGCACAGCAGAAATGCCCTGACAGTCATAGTGCAGGGACAGTTGTTGATAGTGGGACCGTGTTCACTTTGCATGAGTGTTGTCAAAACTAACCTAGCCAAAAGATCCATTTGTAAGTAATACTCATGTGATAACCATATACTCTACCAAGTTAAAATAAGATGGGGCTTTTCCTATAGATCTAGCCTGACTTAGAAACATACCCTTCATGCCACATTTATATATGGTTCCTTGAGAAAGTAAATTCATAAACCACACTATTATTTATAGGCAAGTTCATTCTGGATATTTTATGAAGCTGACTTTTTCTGACAAATGTTAAATATTCAAATCAGAACTATAGTATCCTTAATTCCTAGACTCTTCTGGAGCAAGATTTACATGAAATCACAAAGAATTTGAAAATATCTCAGGGTATTTGAGAAGTTGCTAGGAGCTAATGGCCAGTTGAAGTTTAGTATAGGATACTGTTTCTCCACATGTAACTTGTTTAGCATCTACAGAGAAAATATTAGAGGAGTGTTTATTTAAAATGCAAAGATTTTGGCTCTACCTTTTATCTACTTAATCTTCTGGGCCAGATCTTGAGGAATTTGTATTTTAAACAACCTTCTCCCCTCCGCCGCCTGAATGATTCTGTGTATGCTAAAGTTTGAGAATCACTGATAAATGGGACATTCAAGCTCATTGATTCTAAGGGATGACTATTAGAATGAAAGGGGACTTCAGAGTGCAGCCAATGTAAACATCCCATAACCCTTTCTTTTCCATTTCCTCCTATAGGCCTTTCCTTCCGTTTTATAAACAGATGCCACTCAATGTTATTTTTTCAGTAACCAAGTAAGTAAACATTATAAAAATGTTTCTCATTTGTTTTATTTAGTTTCTTTCTATATTTGATTTTAGAAGACAGTTTTCTAAATAATTATTTTTCAAACTGTGGATCACAAAACATTAGAGGGTTAGACAAAAAGAGGAAGACCCTCAACAAGATCATTGGGCACAATGCCTACAACAATGGGCTCAAGTATAGCAGTGATTGTTGAAGATGGCACAGGATCAGAAAATATTTTATTCTGTTGTACATAGGGTTTACTATGAGTCAGTGGCACCCAACAACAACAACAGTGATGCATAGCACCATGTGAAGAGGACAGATGTTACCATCAAATGTCTGTGATCTTCATAATAAATGCCAATTATGATCCCAGTTTTCAGCTGAATGTGAAAACCTTTGGCTCTTGCACAGAGGAAGAACAGATACCCTGTTCTACTCCTAGTCTGAGCAACTGGGGAAGTGCCAGTCTAGCTGGGGACAGCTGCAGACTTGCATTCTATGACATTCTTTGTTTGAGCAGAGGAGGAGCACTGAGATGAGTGGATCACTGTTGATCACTCTGGTAATTATTTAAAAGCAGACTCACTGCATAATCTGCTTTGGTCTAAAAATTGCCACAGGTCTAAAAGTTGTTAAACGCATTGTTGGGAATTCACGGATATACAGTGATAAACTCTGTTACCCTCACTTCTTCCTAAATAACTTTTACACAAAGGGTAAAGATTCCCTTTAAGAGTTAAACCATGAGATCAAGTTGACAGTCCATATTGTATACATCTCTCAGAAGTTTTTAAAAGAGTGAGTCAATGTTTAAAAAAAAAAAAAAAACTTTTTATTGTGAATGGGTGAAGGTTTACAAAGCAGATCAATTTTCCATTAAATAATTCATACACATTTTGTTTCATATCATTGATTACAGTCCCCACAATGGAATATCACTTATCCTTCTTCCTCCTTGTGTTTCCTGTTTCCATTCTTCCATCTTTCCTAACCCTTCTGAAATTTGTCCTTGGGTAAATGCTACCCTTTTAATCTCAAATGGTTGACTATTGTAAGCTGTGCTTACCTACCTAGTGTTATTATTCCCTTTATAGACCTATTCTTGGGGCTGAAAATTGAGCCAGGAGGATGAGTTCATTTCCAGACTTGAAGGGTGACTGACGGCCGTAGTCTTGGGGTTTCCACAAGTCTCTATCTGACCAATAGGCCTGGCCTTTTTAAAATTTTTATTTTTTATGATTTTGAGTTTTAGTTCACATTTCCCTCCCACTCTATCCAGGACCCTTTAATGCAATCCCTTTCAGAGCAGTTGGTAGTGATAGCTGGGCCTCATTTAGTTCTTCTCATCTCAGGATTATGGAGACTGATGTTTGCGTGATCTGTTAATACATTGGACTAATTGTTTCCATGCATCTTTGATTTTCTTAGGCCAGTATTACTGAGTGTCATGAGTTCTGGAATTCTGTAAGTTTGTGTTTCTGAGCTTTAAGGATAATGCTACCTTGTGTTAGGATAGTCTTGTCTAATGAGTGAACAGCTGGCTTTCTTCAGCCTTTGGATAGCTAGTTACTAGAGTCTTTATTTTAGATTCCATGAAAGCATCTCAGCAAGGAAGATGAAAAGTTAATACCATAAAACATTCAGTAGAGTTTATAGTAGTAGATTTGTTAGGATTGTGAACTTGTTCTTTGTGTGTTGTTTTGTTGGTGCTGAAAGGAAAATCTAGTAGACTGTGGATGTGGCAGACCATGGACTGTCCTGGTGCGCAGTCTAGGGTGGTGGAGGACGGTCCTGGATGGTGGAACTAGATCAGCTGTGACCACTGCCAGGGTTCCAGAGCTGGAGTCTGTGAGCCTGAGGTTTGATTTAGGAGAAAGCAAGGATCAGCTCCAGCAGGGAGCAGATGTGGGACTCTCTGGATTGGAGACAAAATGGGACAGAGTGAAATGGAGACAAAAGGAATAGATTGGAGAGAATAATTAGGAAAGAAATGGTTTATTACCTTCTCACAGGAGTCCTGTCACAGTAGCATCCTCACCTTTCAACCGCCTAGAAGAATACAAATCCACCAGAAATCTTAGTCAGAGATTTATTAGGCCTTATAATAATCTTGGAGTCCTGATGTGGCACTATAGGATAAACACTGGACTGCAAAGTTGGTTTGAACTACAAGGTCCTGCAGCTGCTCCTCAGAAACCCTATACAGGGCCGCTGTGCATTGGAACCGACTCGACGGCACTTAACAACACCAATCATAATCTTTGGCATCCTGGTGTGGTAATGTAGGATAAGCACTGGACAAGGTTGGTGTTTCAAACTCACCAGCTGCTCCTCAGAAACCCTATACAGAGTTGCTATGAGTTAGAACACACTTGACTTAACAAAAACAACATCATAATCTTTATACATTTGATCAGATGGTTCAGATGTATTATTATTCTAGTTAGAAAAGTCATAGTTTATTCCCTTGATTCCAGCTAATGGTTATGATAATATATGATCCGGGATGGTATAAAATGGAATTGAAGCTATTTCTTCCACTAAAAGTTTTAATAGTAGAATAATTTATTATAAAAACATAAGACCACAAGCATCATATATTGTCTATGTTGTTGTTAAATGCTGTCAAGTTGGTTCTGACTTATAGTAACCCTACTTAGGGTTTATGAGGCTGTACATTTTTGTGGGAGCAGAAAGCTTCATATTTTTCCCATAGAGTGACTGGTGGGCTCCAGCCACCAACCTTGTGGTTTGCAGTCCAATGTTTACCTTACAGAGCCACCATGCTCCCATATTGTCTATATATGTTAGAAATTCATAGCAACTGGTAAAAAATTATTTCAACACCAGTTAGAATTCAGCATTTCAAACAGTTTAAAGTTCTTGATCCATCACAGATGGAATTTCCAAGTAAGTGGTGGTGGTGGTGGTTATGTGTTGTGGAGTCAATTCCAACTCATAGCAAAATGCACACAGAAATAAACAATAACCTTAATTTTTTTTTTTGTACAAACTTTTAATGTAGTTCATTGATCTAGAGGCCAAACGAGGCAGCAATTAGTCACTTAAGGCACCTCACTGAAAATTGTACATCACAGTACTGTTGAGTGATTGCAGCTACAGGGTTTGAAGATGGAAAGGACAATCTTTAGATGATATTGCTTAGGATACTTGCTTCTTTATTAAAAAGGGCTCTACCGTGGATGGAAGAAGGGAAGAGCGTAGGATTGTGGTGTGTGCTGACTGGCTGCTAGGAGCTGATCCATGAGAGCAGGCAGACTGGTAACTCAGTGGCAAGGCAGGGGAAGAGTGAGCCTGGCATGCCCAGCGCTCCCCATGGCTCCAGTAAAGTGGATTCACTGAGCCACCATCCCGTGAATACACCACGGATCTCTTTCAAATGTGGAGATGAATTTTTTATTTCATGCTGTGGGGAATCAGATTCAGTAGTCCAAGTCTTCCTATTCCAATTTATAGGGAAGACAGTACAGTAGTTCATTTTCCTGCCTTCTTGGACTGGCCGGTCATGAGGTTCTGAGATAAAAGCTGAGGTTGTAGGGCACCAGCTTAAAAAAATGTCATCACCAGTACAGAGTAAATGAAAACCTGATTCCATAGAAAATATAATACTGTGCTCCCTATTTCTACCCACACCCTCTAATCACAGTGTTGGTTTTTTATTAAAAATTAATTTTCTCCTTCACTTATCACTTATGCTTTTAAAAGCACCCACCTTTGTGGGGGGAAAAAAACAAACCCACCTCATTACAATAACACTGCTGTTCTCCTCAATACTCCTCTTGAACCCCTGACCTCTCTGCCCAGCACCTAGGAGCAGGAATCACTCCATTAGGTGAAGAGCAATGGTGCAGTCACACCTGGCCTTCTGTTACTAGGGTGTGACTTTGGAGAAGGCTACTAGGATGCTTGCAAACACATCAGGGGTCTCGGATGCATCGATGGCACAGTGGATGCTACGTTTCTGGAAGTAGTCCACGAGTGCAGTGGTCTGAGTATAGTAGGCTTCCGAGTAGATTTTCAGGGCCTTCTTATTATCATCTGATTGGCGGACCACAGGCTCTTCAGTGATAGCATCTTTCATGGCTCTTTTGGGGGCTTGAACTCCTCGTGATAGGAACGACTACTCATGGGGTCAATCAGCCTTCCTGTGATTCTCTGGATGAGCAGAGAGTCTGGGATACTGAACTCAAGCACTTCTCTTTCCTCTTCACCATGAGGCCATTGAGGGAAGCCATCTAAAAGAAAAACATTCTTGCATGTAGGGGTCTCCAAATTTTTCTCAATGAGTTCCACCACCATTTCACCGCTCACCAGTTTCCCAGCATCCATTGTTGCCTTCAGCTTTTCCCAGCTCTGAACCAGAAGTCACCATGGTCCTCAGCATGTCCTCAGTGGTCCTTAGCATGTCCTCAGTAGCCAATGGCAAATAACAGAAGTTTTAGGCCACTTTGGGTGTCTAGGTACCCTTGCCAGTCTTGGGTGGCCCCAGCAGCATTGCCCAAATGCCTTTAGGATACTCTTGGGCTGGATCGTCCACTGGAATGTTGGAAGCGATGTCTGCTGAAACCTGAGGTTTCACACACAACACATACCTCACAGGTCCCCTTAATCTTAGCCCTAATCTTAACCAAGTTATCCCAGCATCAATTTTTTAGTCATCTCTCCTGAAGGAGTCTTTAAAACAAAAAAAGGCAAATATCGCTTCTCTTTTCTCTTTTCTCTGTCCCTATTCAGGGAAACAGCTAAAATTAGGTTTGTGATTGAAAGCAGAAAAGAAAGAAGCCAGACAGGTTCAGGAGTACAATATATTCTAAAATCTACCTTTTATAGTCCTATGCTATCACCCTGCCCAATGATTCACATTTAAATAAGCAGTTTTGTGACTAGACAGGGTTTGTTTTTGTTTTTGTTTTTTTCACTCCCTCAATATCTTGGAAGAGGTGAGGTACCAAAACAAGTCTCTAAATATTATTGGACATAATACAGGTTACAGTGAATTCCTAGCTTTGTGTCTCTCAACATATAAAGGAGGAATGGATTTAGTGAAACTCAAGGACTTGCTTCTATTTGATATTCTAAGTGATCTTATCAAGTTCTAATTTTTAAAATTATGTTCCCATTTTAGGACAGAGCCATTTACTTTTCCTCCTGCCTCTAAGTACCCATCCATCCATTCAAAAAGTACAGTGGGCACTCAGACTGATTATCGGGATGCTGAAGTTCAAACCGACCCCTATTCTCCAGAATATGTTGTGTGTCAGGATTCAATCCCTGAGCTCTTGATCCTGGCTACTCTTACTTGGGGTGAGTTGATAATTCCTTTTAATATTTGCAGGTGACGGTACAGAACACCATTTACGTTAATGAGTTCCTGGAAATGACAGACATAGAGTCAACTGTGGTTTAAAGTGTCATGCTCAGTGGAGCTTGATAGACTCATTTTTTTTTTCTGATACTTTCAGTTTAAAGAAAGACACTTCTTCAGTGTGATTACTGTTGTTTACTCCTGAAGTTAAAGTTATATTTCAGTGTCATTTTGAATTGCTTTGCTGAATACTCACTTCCCTCCTCCCACCTGTTTCTCCCAGGAGCGCGGTGGCTTCATATGATAAGCACTGGACTGCAAACCACAAGGTCTGTGGTTCAAATCACCAGCTGCTCTGCAGGAGAAAGATGCAGCTTTCTACTCCTGCAAAGATTTTTTTATTTTTTTAAGCCTCAGAAACCCTGTATATGGTCACCAGGAGTCAGAACCAATTTGAAGGCTCTTAACAACAGATCCTCCCAGGGAATCAACTCCTTTTCATTCAGCAACCTATATTCCTTCTTTCCACATCAAAAAATTTTGATGGTATAATATTGAACATACATTCATACATAATATCTTACTTTGCAAAAATATATTACTGATTATAAAAACCGTCTTACCTACCTTATTTCATTTGAATCTTGAAAATATCATATGAAGTTGGCTTGTTATCATAGATATATCTTGCATTCAATTCTCACAATTCTGTGCTAATAGTACTTTATGAGTTGTAGAGAATAAAGTGTTTTGAAAGAAAAGTCATGTGTTCAAACTTCACCATCCATTATGCTACACTCTGCTAATCTTTTTTTTTTTTTAAGGTAAGATACTTTTTTATAGGGATGTTACATACATATAATTGCTTTTGATTGTTAAAGGTTTTAAAATAAAATTAGAAATATTTTTAATCCTTCTTTATGTTGGACTCTTTGTTCAAGAATTTGTCTGAGTGTGGATTTAGTAGAATACAGCCTATTAACTTACTGACTTGATTAAACAACAAGCTCATTGAGTATCCAGTGTCTAAGTTATCTGTAAGGACCTGGAGAAGCACGGAAAAGAAATGTCAGATTTGACATTTAGAAAGTCAAATAGAAGGAAATGAAAGGAAAGCATGTGGTTTTCAATGAAATGTTTTTATATTCTAGCTTTCGTCAACTGGAATACAACTGTTGGCTTCTGGTGGTATATGAAGATTCAGTCCTTTTCTGTTCACTGTACTGAGTTAGGTACTGAGGCTTATCAAGCGTCACATAGTTAGCCACAGAGCTAGCACAGAATCCAGGGCCCCTGCTTCCCAAGGTTGAGCCAGTACCCTGTGCCTCTCTGAGCATACTTTATATCAGATCAACTACCTAACTTTTAAACTTCTCAAGTTTTAAATAATAGCTTATTTTCAGTGGAGCCACTGCCACTGTATTTACTTCAAGTACTAACACCTTATAACCAACAAAGGTTATTTTGCCTAATAGCTCTCACCTGGTTGTTTATAAATGGCATTTTAGCCTTCTGTGTGCATCCAGCAGTGGGTGGAAATAAGAGGGCATGCACCTTTCAGCTTTATCTTTCCATTTAGTAAGGCTTTGTTGTAACAAAGCAGTCTTACAGGATCAGAACAATTGACGGGTAGGGGTAAGATAAGTCAGCAAAGATGACCTGACACCAGCTTTCTGGCAAAGGTTTATTTATGTTGCCTTTAACTTTGTTCCATATGTACTCTAGGTTTTTGCAGGTCTCAGTAGACAAGAGATTAATAGCTAAATTCTGAAAGCTGGGTTTTTGGTAGTTTAATCAATTTTAATATTCCATGGTATTATCTCTTTTCGCCCACCTAGCACTATTTTGGAATATTCAAGATAGCAGATTTTGAAAATCTTAATTTTACAGTTCACGTTGAAAATTTTAATGCCAGAATTGACTCATTATATATTCTGAAGAAATGCAAAAATATAGAATAAAAGGCATTTTCAATAGATATCATATCCTAGAATTAATACAGAATAATATAATATGTAAGATTTCTCAGGTATTCTCCCTTATTAATTGTATGATACCTATTGAGAATGAATCTAAGAGTTGGCTTAAAAGGTTAATTTTCTTAACAAGCAGCAGTACCAGAACAAAATTTTACTTTCTTTTTAATTTTACTGGCACTAAAGCACTGGTGTGGCGTTGTGGGTTAATGCGCCAGACTGCAAAGCCATTTGAACTGCAAGGTCAGCAGTTCAAGCTCACCAGCTGCTCCTTGGAAACCCTATATAGGGCTGCTATAGGTCAGAACCAACTCGACGGCACGTCACAACAACAAGAGCACTGGTGGTGCTGTAGGTTAAGCACTGGACTGCTAACCACAGGTCGGCAGTTCAAAACCGTCATCTGATCCATAGGAGAAAGATGTTCTCACAAAGATATACAGCCTCAGAAACCCTATACAGGGTCGCTATGGCTCAGCACCAACTTGATGACTCCTAACAACACAGTAGAATGTTAATTGGGTTGAAAGTGATTCAGGTCATTCATTGTAATATTCAACATACCTAACACTCCTATGGGAGTCCTGGTGTGGCACTGGGCTGCAAAGTCAGTTTGAACCACAAGGTCAGTGGTTTAAGCTCACCAGCCGCTCCTCGGAAACCCTATACAGGGTCGCTATGGGTCGGAACCGACTCAACGGCACATAACAACAACAACAACAAAACACTATCATCTTCTCCAAATAAATTTATTTGACTGGAATATTTTTGATGAGAAAAATAAAAAAATGTTATATTTTATTTCACCCCTGGATAGAGTAAATATTATTGCCTTGAATTAAAAAGTCTGACCGTGGATATAGTTATCTTAACTACAGTCCTATCCCACTCTGGTGGTTCATTTGTTCAAATCTGAATTCCTACCAAGGTATTAGGGCTCCAATGATGTATACGATAGATACCAAACTAAACCATGATTTGTTGTTGTTGTTAAGTGCCAGCCAGTCAGTTCCAACTCAAAGATTCTGAGGAGCGGCTGGTGAACTTAAACCACCAATCTTGTGGTTCAAGCTGCTCATCCAAGAACCTGGAGGTAGCTGGTTCACTGTAAATTAGATGACTTTTATTTCCTCACTCTAACAGAGAGCTGTGATTAAGTCTGTGTTACAGATAATGAAGAAGTTTATATCTGGACTCCAATTCTGATTCTTTTTTCCTGACTCACTGTACAAATCAGATTCTGTATTCTTGATACCCATGCTTTAAATCAGAAGCTGGATAAAAATATGTTGAAACCATCCCTTTCTGCTCTCCGCACATCTATCCATTACTCTTCTCATCTCTGTCTGTGTTCCACAGTGTGAGGGGCCTGGCATGCATGCATGCATGTGATCACTCTGATCTCTTTTGTTCACACATTTCTGCCAACAGTTGCCACTTGACCACTCCTTGGGCTTAAGGGTGCAAAAATAGCAGCATAGTCTGCTTTTATGAGTCTCAATCCTGGGAAAAGACCCATTTAGACTTTGGAAGCAACTGTGAGGCCATTTGTGCCATGTCACTGTGGTACTGTCCAGGGTGCTTCTGAGAGAAATATATAAATGATCTCAACCCAAGAAATACAAAGCACCGAAGATACTACAAGTGGCCCACAAAACAATAAGAGGAATGGAAAAATAAATTCCTTAATAGAGCAAATGGAGTAATTTGAAAAGAATTTAGAAGTACTTTTTATGTCCTCAAAGAGACAAAAGGTGAGATGACAATAATGAAAACAAGAATAGATGTTATGGTAAAGAACCAGTTAAAATCATTAGAAAGGAAAAGTATAAATTTAAAAATAAAATAGTCTCAATAGTAGAATAGACGTGGTCAAAGAACAAATTAGCAAAATGGAAGATGGAGTGAATAAATATTACAGAATGTAACATACAGAGGATTATAGTGTTTCTTGGGATATTGTGACCAAATAGGAAACCCATTATAGCCCTTCATTTCCCTTTTCCATTCTTGGTCCCAGAAAGGTGATGCAGTCAATCAAGACTACATTGAAAGGTACTAGACACGTGAGCGTGGTTGGATCACAGTCAGTGTCTCTGGACTTATCAGGAGACATAGCCAAAGATCTTCACTTCAAGAGGTCTTTATGTTTTTTAGCTCTTAAAATTGGAGCTAAAGGATAGCCCTAAATTACATATTCATTGTATGAAACAAAATGCAAATATGAGAATTCTCAGCTAATGATTACTTTCTTAATTATCTGTTAAAAAAAAAAAAAAACAACTCTGATTTTTATTTTTGTCCAACAGATTCCCTACTCCTCATCATATTTTCCTAACTCAGGACTTCTATATTGATTTATATAGCATAATATAGATTTGTCTAATAAAGGGTCTTCCAGTGGTCTCAGGAGTCCTGGTATAGTGCTATAGGATGAGCCCTGAACTGCTAACCACAAGGTTGGTGGTTCAAATCCACCAACTGCTCCTTGGAAACCCTACACAGGGTTGCCATGAATCAGAACTGACTCAATGACTCTTACAGCGATAGCGGTGGTCACTTAATATTCTTCAAATACTTTCAAGTATCATTGTTGTTGTTGTTAAATACCTTCAAGTCGGTTCCAACTCACAGTGACCCTGTATAGGGTTTCCCAGGATTAGATGGTGGGTTTGAAACGCCAACCTTGCAGTTAGCAGTCTGGTGCTTACCCTACAGTGCCACACTAGGACTCCAACATAGATGTAACTCAAATGGTTTGTGTCTTCATTATTAGCAAGAATCAATGGAAAGTACAGACAACACAAGATGTGAGACATATTTGGAGGAAGTTTCTTTATATTATTTTCTCCTGTCATACCCCTTTAATTCCCTCAGGCAAGGTCCACATGCATAGTCACCATTTATGTTTTTGACCCAGTGGCACCGAATAAAAACCTTTGAATTTAAAGGACAGGAACTAGAAGGAAGGAAACTATATACTAGTAGGTACATGAATTTATGCACTTGTTTCTAAAGTGTTCTCACTGCTTCATCCTCAAGGTCGAGGTCTCCCAGCAGGACAAGCTGAAGTGGAGATGATAGAACGGGCTCGAGAGAAACGCATATGGGAAGCCACCCTTCCCCCTCTGAGTGACACCACCCAGTTTGAGAAGAGGAGGAGGATGATGAATACGATGGAGAGGAAGGAGTGGGCCTTCAGAGAAAATGAAATTCAAAAGTAGGTTTGTAGTCCCCCAGACAATTGTTCTTGCACTGATGGGAGTCACAGTAACACTTTTTATGTGTAACACACTTACTTTTCCAAATGTATGGGTTTCAAAGCAATCCTCAATCTTTTGAACTAGGAAATTGAATTTCAGGGTCTTTCATGAGTAATCACACTCCTGAGGTAGTCTAAGAACTCTCTATAATTCTCTCTTCATTGACATTAAAATGTATAATGTCCTTTCTGTGTGGGAAGAAGACATTCACCAGGGAACCCAGATTTAAACAGTTCCTTGAGGGAATCTTTTTCTGATTTTCCCTCTTCTACACTCTCTAGATCCCACTGATTTCTGCAAGACATCTTTCAGACTGTCCCTTCCTGGTCATTCCCTAGCCCTAACCATCTTCTTTTCCCACCCAAGACCTCCTAGCTGATCCCATCTCTCATTCTCACTGGCACTGGATTCAGTCAGGACACCTTGGCTTCTTTTGGAAGCTGATGGGGCATTTTCTATTTACAAGGCAAATTGTGAAATTCTTCAGTGGGGAGGGGGGTGGAAGAACAAAGTGGGAGGATGGTGGAAGAACATGGAAGATAGTGGAACCCTGAGGCAGCTTTGCATGGGCTAAATGGGAAGGAAGTAAATAGTGATGTATTCTCAACCTTGGAACAACAGGGCTCTGTGATACAGGGATCAAGGCATAATCTGAAGAGGGGAAGTAATGTTAAGATGCTTGACTGATTTATGAGATATTTGTTTCCCTTGCCTACTGTTGTAAAATAGACACTTGAGGGGATAGAAACAAATGTCGGGAGACTTGATTACAAAAAGCTTGTAACCTATAACTGATTGTTGTTGTTGTTAAGTGCTGTCGAGTTGATTCCGATCCATAGTGACTCTGGATAAGGTTTCTGAGGAGCATCTAGTGAGCTTGAACCACCGACCTTGCAGTTCAAATGACTTTGAAGTCTGGCGCATTAACCCACAGTGCCACACCAGGATTGAAATACCTAAAAGGGGTTCTAGAACTTGCCAAGTGAAATAGGCGTCTTGTGGAGCCTTTGCAGAGTATGGGACCTTAGGTGGAATCCTGAGCCCCATCTAGAACCTTCTGAGGTAGGGCATCCCACTAGAAAGGACAAGCAGACCAGCCTGAAATAGCTTGCAGAAGAGAAGACACATCTTCAAAGAAAGATCAGCAGGAAAATCCAAAACAAAAATAGCAGTATGATTGGCTACGACAAGAACAAGCAAGTTGTTCGCCGGGGAGCCATCAAGGCAAACAATCAAGTTCCTTCAGGACAAACCCCCCTCCAAGACTGAAACTCAAAAGGAACACATGAGCAGGCATGTAAGCTTTCTGGCGACCATGTTTGTCTACTGGTGGGTGGAAGAGGAGGAAAGGCAGCAATGAAGAAATGGGCTGAGTTCAACCACGTTCCATAGACTCACGTTGACCTGGAGATAGAGAGAAGAGGAAGGGCTGTTGGGTCTGAAGTGTGGTGAGACCTGGGGACTCCTGAGCCCATGGACAAGGACATAGTCATGGAGAGCTAGAGCTGAGAGTGAAGTGTCCAGCTGATATGAAGTGAGGAAAGACGCACAAGAATACCCAAAGTTGCAAATAGTACCCATCTGACCTAGCTTCGATGGCCTGATAATCAGAACTCAACTAGAAAATAATTTTTTTTTTAATTTTAATAAAGGAAACGAGTGTAAATTGTTGCAATTTGATGAACTTGACCTATACTTATGGATGTAGTAGCTCAAAATACCAACTGAGAGGGAAGGAGTCTTCATATCAGGTGTCAATCCTATCCCCTCTGTATACAGGGTAGATAAAGATGGGCAACTTAGACATTTGCTACCTAAAATGAGGGGGTGATAAAGGCATGAAGTGACTGGCTTGCAAGTTTTCAAGAGGGAGTTGAGTTTAAGAGTGTGTGAGCCCTCCCCCCCCCCCAAAAAAAAAAGCAAAAGAGGAAAACACTGTTAACTGATGATGTATGGAGGGGATTATAATCAATGTAATGAAACAAGTCATATGAATGGTTGAATGTGAAACTGATGATGTGCCCTGTAAACTTTCACTCAATCCACAATAAAAATCTTAAAAAAAAAACAAAAAAAAAGAGTGTGTGAGGGAAGATAGAATCCCCACTGAATAGGTTTCATCTTGTCCAGATGGGTCTGGTGAAAATAGATGGTGATAAGATTCAATAGTGAGAAATTGTTGTCACGACTAATTGTGACGGTCACAACTGTAAAAGTAGACGTTTTGTAACAAAAATGAGGGATTAGTTAATCTTACAGTCCAGAAACAGAGGACCCTAGGACCATCAAGAGAGAAGAGCACAAGTAGGGTGTGGGACCCCATTCAGAGAAGCAGCGACACCAGAGATGGAGGCAGAGATGAGGACATGGAGAGAGGGAGCAGCTGAGGACTCTGAACTTATGGAAAGAGAGGGACTGGTTGCTGGCAGCCAGGAGGCAGGCTTGCAGAATGTGCCCGTTATTTGTTTAAATTATTATATATTCCTGAATGTTTCTGTGTATATACCCTGCCCCCCCCCAAATAAACAAAATAAAATAAAACAGGAATGGAAGCAAAAAAAAAGACACTATAAACACAATGAAAATACAAAAAGAAAAAAGAGAGAAAAAAACTAGAAAAAGAAAGGTGAGGGAGGGAAGGGAAAGGAACAAAGCTTCATAATATGTATTTAATCTCTTTTTTATAGCTAAAGAAATAAAAATTCTGTCCTAAAAAAATAGAGATATGAGCTCACAGCCCATAAATAACGATCTGTTAAAGTGCTTGGGCTGCATTTTTAATCATCTTAACTGATGATATTTTCAATAATGTGGTTGTCACTGGAAGAGTATTTATACATGACAAAAATCACAAAATTCTGATACCCCTAGCAAGAAAGAAAGCAAGGGAACGTGTCAGGTTTGTCCTCTGTCCCAGGCTCTGCTGAGGCACGTTATTGCTAGCTGCAGTGCTACCTAGGGCCCTGACATTATGCTTATTATTAGACTTCTGAGAGAGTTAGAGACTCTGCTTTGTCTCTAAATTTAAAATATGTCTATCTTTTTTCAACACCTGAGTAAGTCTGAATCCAAGCAATGTGATGGTTTGGCAGCAAAGTAAAAAACAATGTTTAGAGCAAAGTAGGTGTCAGCTACCCAATCCTGTCTACAGGAATGTGCAAGTTTTTGCTGCAATTTGGAGAGATGGATATATCTTTTCAGAAGAACATGAAGAATAGTAATAATATATCTTGTTAGAGTGAGGACATCACTGGAGAAAATCAGTACTTTTATTAAACTAAGGATAATTCTACTGAACATATTTTGAGTTTCTCCTGTGTGTTGTGTTCTGTGCTATAGGTTGGGAGAACAGGGATGAATAGGAAACTGTCCTGACAGAACTCCTTACTGTCCACAGAGAGCAACAAACCACTGTCTTGTAGGATGGATCAGGTGATGTGTTATTTAAACACAAAGTACTAGGGGAATTCAGGTGAGAGGGTAATTAGTTGTATGTGAGGTAGGTGGAGATTTGAGAAAATTACTGATCAGAGGTAGCCTCTGGCTGGGTGTGGAAGTAAAAAGCCAATAGCTGACATAATCCATGATGATGATGATGATACCTATAGAGTGTGTGATGTACAGAGTGATTGGTGTGTCTCAGACCATGTTCTGACCCTAGTTCTCAAAGTGTGACCCCAGACCAGCAGCATCAGTGTTGGCTAGAAACTTGTTAGAAACATAAACTCTCAGATCTCACTACTGAATCAGAGTTTGTTGTAACAAACTCACTAAGTTTTTTGATGCATGCTCAAATTGGAGAACTGATGTTCTAGCACTCTGTATTTAATGGCATAATTATCTTAGTTGTTGTTGTTCTTAGGGACCATCAAGTCAATACCAACTCACAACAGAATGAAACACTGCCCTGACCTATACATCACAATCATTGCTGCACTTGAGCCCATTACTGCTGCCATTGTGCCAATCCATCTTGTTGGGGGCCTTCCTCTTTTTCACTGACCCTTCACTTTACCGAGCATGATGCCTTCCCAAGGAATGGTCCTTCCTGATAATATGTCTGAAGTATGAGAGATGAGGTTTGGTCATCCGAGTTTCTAAGGAGCATTCTGGCTGTACTTCTTCCAACACATATTTGTTTGTTCTTCAGGCTGTCCATGGTACTTTTAATATTCTTTTCCAATATCATAATTCAAATGCATCAATTCTTCTATGGTCTTCCTTATTCATTGTCCAACTTTCACATGCATATGAGACTATTGAAAATACCATAGGTTAGGCGCACCTTACCATGAGTTAGGTTTGGGTTAGGCTCACCTTAGTCCTCAACCTGACATCTTTGCTTTGATCACTTTAAAAAGATCTTGTGCAGCAGATTTGCCTAATGCAATACGTCATTTGATTTCTTGCCTGCTGCTTCCATGAGTGTTGATGGTTGACCTGAGCAAAACGAAGTCTTTGACAACTTCAGTCCTTTCTCCATTTATATGGTTGTTATTTATTGGTCTAGTTGTGGAGATTTTTTTGTTTTCTTTACATTTAAGTGCAACCAATACCAAAGACCGTGGTCTTTGAGATTCATCAGTAAGTATTTTAAATCCTCTTTGCTTTTGACAAGCAAGGTTGTATCATCTGCATATCACAGGTTGTTAATGATTCTTTTTCCAATCCTGATGTCATGTTCTTCTTCAGATAAGCCACCTTCCCAGATGATTTGCTCAGCATACAGATTGAATAAGTATGGCGAAAGAATACAACCCTGGCTCACACCTTTCCGGATTTTAAACCATTCAATGGAATGGTATGAATAGCAGTGGAACACAGTCAACACCAGAATACTGAATATTGAAACATGATGAAGAGCACCAGAATACTCTCAGACATAGCGCCAGGAAATGAGTCACTCAGGTTGGAAGGCACTCAAAATACAACTGGGGAATTGCTGCCTCCTCAAAGTATAGTTGACTGTGATGATGTAAATGGAGTAAAGCCTTCATTTGCTGATGAGGCACAACTCAATATGACAAGAAACAGTTGTAAACATCCATTAATAATCAGAGCATGGAATGTACGAAGTATGAACCTTGGATAATTGGAAGTTCTCAAAAATGAAATGGAACATGTAAACTTTGATATCCTAGACATTAGTGAGCTGAAATGGATAGATATTGATGATTTTGAATCTAATAATCACATGGTATACTATATCAGGAATAACATACTGAAGAGGAATGGCGTTGCATTCATCATCAAAAAGAATGTTTCAAGCTCTCTTTTGATGTGCAACACTGTCTCTGATACCCATCTGCCTACATGGAAGACCAATTAATACAACTGCTATTCAAACTTATGTACCAACCACTAAAGCCAGTGATGATGACACTGAAGAATTTGATCAAGCATCTTCAGTCTGCAACTGACCAAACATGCAATCAAGATGTGTTGATAATTACTGGCGATTTGAATGCAAAGGTTGTTAACAAAGAAGAAGGATCAGTAGTTGTAAAATGTGGTATTGGTGGTAGAAATCATTCTGGAGATCACATGCTAGTATTTTGCAAGACCAAGAATTCTTCATTGCAAATGCCACTTTTTAAACTACATAAAAGACAACAATACACATGGACCTCACCAAGTGGAATACACAGAAATCAACTTGACTATATCTGTGGAAAAGGATGTCACTAGAGCTCCATATCATCAGCCAAACCAAGACCAGGGGCAGAATGTGAAACAGACCATCAATTGCTCACATGCAAGTTCAGGCTGAAGCTGAAGAAAATTAAAGGAGGTCCATAAGAGTCAAAATATGACCTTGAGCATATCCCACCTGAATTTAGAGATCATCTGAAGAACAGATTTGATATGTTAGACACTAAAGACCAAAGACCAGAAGAGTGTGGGGTGATATCAAGAACATTATACAGGAAGAAAACAAAAGCTCATTAAGAAGACAAAAGTAAGGAAAAGCCCAAAATGAATGTCAGAAGAGACTCTGAAACTTACTCTCTAGTGTAAAGATTCTTAAGCAGATTACCTTAGACATGGATACTCTTCTTATTTCCATTTTATAGTTGACACTGAGGTAAGTGGTGAATGTGAGAGTTGAATCTGTGCATTCTAACTCCAGAGAAATAGGTGACTATGGTGCCTGCCTCTTCATACTCACTACTCTCCAACCTTCCAATGTTCTGTCCTTGAGAAGCTCTGACAGTGTGACATGTTTGCTCTATCTTTACCTAATCCTTTCAAGTTCAACATTTGCCCTTTCTGTCAATTCCTTGTTTCTTCCTTGTCAATGTGACAACTCTCAATCCTTGCTTGTCCTAAAAAATGGCGAATCACCAACTCCTCTAAAGAAGCCTTTTCCACCTTTCCGTAAGTTTCCCTGTCCCTCCACTGTGGGTCTTACTACACATAGGTGTTCTCTCCTACCACAGAGGTTTTTACATTGTTCTAGCCTGGCCTTGTATTGTATATTTTTATATGTCCACACCACAGAGCAGTGCTTCCTGAGGGAAGGCATTTTGTCTTCTTCATCTTTGTTGGTTCTTTGCCTGCCATGTGGGGGACACTAGATAAATATATGACAAATGATTGAGTGGATAAAATAATGCCTACATTTTTAGAGCAAGGGTAAAATGTTCAAATTTATATTTTAGGAAAGAACGCCTTGATAGATATGTGGAGATAAGACTAAAAAAGGAGAGACAAGAAGCAAGGAAACCAAGTTAAGAGAGAGATAACACAGTCATAAGCTAGGGTGAATGCAAGAAGTGTTTTTGGAGAAGGTCTTATTAGAAGATCTAAAAGAAGTATATTTCTGAGAAAAGAAAGTGAGTGGTTTATCTGTGTGTGTTTGTATATGTCTGGCTGTCAGGATCAAGTGGAGACTCAAGCTGTTGTTGTTAGGTGCTCTTGCATCAGTTCTGACTCATAGTAACCCTATCTACAGGAGAACAAAACACTGCCCAGGCTTGTGCCATTCTAACAGTTGTTACATTTGAGCCCATTGTTATTGTCACTGTGTCAAGCCATCTTGTTGGAAGTCTTCTTCTTTTTTGCTGATCCTGTATTTTAAAGAGCATGATGTCCTTCTCCAGGAACTGGTCCCTCCTGATAACATGTCCAAAGTATGAAAGACGAGGTTTCGCCATGTGGGTTTCTAAGGAGTGTTCTGTCTACACTTCTTCCAAGATAGATTTGTTTATTCTTCTGGCAGTCTGTAGTACTTTCAATATTCTTCACCAACACCATAATTCAAATGTACTGATACTTCTACAGTCTTCTTTAAGTGTAGTGAAAAATACAACCTTAGCATACACATTTCCTAATTTTAAACCATTTAGTGTCCCTTTATTCTGTCTGCCTCTTGGTCTATTTACAGTTTCCTCATGAGTACAAGTAAGTATTCCAGAATACTCATTCTGTTCCAAAAGATCTCAGTTGCAGATAAAGATTTTGGAGTCATTTTTACATGGTTGGATCCATATGAGCAAGACTGCCCTGGAAGAATAACTTGAAGGCTAAGGCAAGGGAAACAACAGTTGAATGAGTACCAACTATGTGCCAGCGACTATATTTAACTATCCATATTCACTCCTTAACACAGTTATCGCCCCCCCAGCACTTAATCCACCAGTCAACCTGTTGTTGTTAGGTGCCATGCAGTCGGTCCCGACTCATAGTGACCTTATGCACAGCAGAACGAAACACTGCCTAATCCTGGGCCAACCTTACTACTGTTGCCATGCTTGAGTCCATTGATGCTGCCACTTGGCCAATCCATCTCATTGGGGGTCTTCCTCTTTTTATCTGACCCTCCACCTTACCAAACATGATATCCTTCTCCAGAGACTGGTCCCTCCTGCCAATATGTCCAAAGTATAAAAGATGAAGAACCACACAAACAACTTGTTCATATAGGCTCATCAGCCTAGGGAGTCTTTTAAACTCACCTGCTTGGCACACTCTTCCTTGCCCTTCAGAACTATGCCCTTATAGATTCCTTATATGAAGACTTACCACTGAAATGCCCTCCTCCCACTAATTAATATGCTTCCCTTTTGCCAGAGGGGTCTTTTTAAAATACATGATTACCAGTCCAAAGAGAGGTTCAGTTTATGGCAGATATTCTCTTGCTCTGTAGTAGAACATGCTGTTTAAAATACTCTATCTTTCATTATGTTTTCAAGACTGCAAGACATTCGTCTGGAAGTCCTGAAACAGCTGCTGAAGAAGCGTGAAGAGAATCAAGCTGAAGTGAACATGAAGAACTTGAATGCCCAATGGTCTAAACTTCAGAAAGCAAAAGAAGCAAAAGTGGCAAAAATTCAACGAACACATGTATCAGGTAATGGTGTAGTATTAACAGTGAAGAACATTTAAATGTTGGCTTTTCTTTGGATCTTTAACCACATCTCATTTAACTATGCTATAATTCTTTTGGACCTAGTGTATTATATTGTAGGTAAAGGATAGGAGATGAATTATTACTCAAAAATAGAACAACAACAACAAAAAATTCCTAACTAAGAAATCAAGTGATGTCCTAAGAGGTAGTTAACCTTTGACTTTATGGTATATGTGTATAAACGTAACGTGTCCATGTGTACCTACATCTGGGTGTGTGTGGCTGTTTCTGTTATCTGTGTACATGGGTATGGAGATGCTGGAGTCTTCATATGTCTTAATCTCCTAGTGCTGCTGTAACAAATACCACAAGTGAGTGACTTTTAAGAACATAAGTATGTTGTCTTACAGTTCTGGAGGCTTGAAACTGGAGTAGAGCTCACCAGCTGTAGGGGAAGGTACCCTATCAGCTGTGGGGAAAGACCCTTATCTGTTTCAGCTTCTGTGGCTCCATCATTCCTCAGTTCTTGACAATCTTCATGTGGCATTTGTCTTCCCCCATCTAATCTACTCTTTTTATAGTTTAAAAATGATTAGGTTTAGGACATATCCTACACTGATATGGCCTCATTAACATTGCAAAGAAAGCCATAATGCCAAACAGGATAACATTCACAGGCATAGGGGCTAGGATTCCAAAACCTAGTACTAGTTTTGGGAGTAAACAGTTCAGTCCATCAAGCTATATGCATGTTTTGAGGCCCTGATAGAAAACAATAATTTTCAATTACTTTTTTCATTATTTCCCCTAAGGAGTCATTTTAGACATTTTTTTCCCTTGACTTCTTCAAACATGAAATTGTAATAATACGTTGTTGTTAAAGTGCCATTGAGTCAATTCTGACTCATAACGACTCTGTGTAGGGTTTGAACTGGTGGGTTTGAACCACTGACCTTGTGGTTAGCAATCTGATAACTTATCCTACAGAGAAGACGATAGCCATACTATCTATATGCTTAAGTGCTGGATATATACTTGTGCTTTATACATGGAGAGAAGTGTAAAGTTTATTATTTTCTTAGTCTATGCTAGATTATGACTAAATATAAACTAAAAGTTTTCAGTTAAAATTGAAATAAAAGATATTAGAATATTAACATTTAACTTTACAACTGAGTGTTCTGAATGACTTTTTTTTTTTAATTAAATGTTTTTATTTTGGATTGAGTGAAAGTTTACAGGGCACATCATCAGCTTCACATTCAACCATTCATATAGCTTGTTTCATTACATTGATTCTTATCCCCTCCATATATCTGAATGACTCTTAATGGAATTTATTTACTTTCCTAAATTATAATTTATCAAATTATATATCCAAATTAGTGATTTGTATATATGTAAAAGCAATGTAATCACATTTTAAAAGTAATTTTAAATTTCATTTTTCCAGAAGAAATAAAGCAAGTACAAACATTAAATTAATTCCTTAAAAATTCTTTTTAGTGAATTTAATGTTTGGATTTTTCTTGATTGAGAAAAAGAACCTAAATCTCAAGCACAGAGATGCTAAAGCAAATGAAAGAAATGAGGAGGTACAAGAGCTGAACAGAAATTTTTGAAGGTCAGCTTGAGAAGACAAAGTCAAACATTACAACGAAATATGCAGAGATCTGGAGTCAGAAAACCAAAAAGGAAGAACACGCTCAGCATTTCTCAACCTGGGGGAATGGAAGAAAAAATTCAAGCCTTGACTTTTGTTATTGAAAGATTCTCTGGGAAAATTATTGAATGATGCCGAAAACATTAAAAGAAGATGGAAAGAATACACAGAGTCACTGTTCGAAAAGGAAATGATTGATGTTCAACTGTTTCAAGAGGTAGATAGCATATGATCAAGAGGCAATGGTATTGAAGGAGGAAGTCCAAGGTTCATTGGAGGAATTGGCGAATAACAAGGCAGCAGGAATTGATGGAATAAAAATTGAAATCTTTCAAGAAAGTGAGGCGGCACAGGAGGCACTCACTCATCTCTGCCAAGAAATTTGGAAGACAACTATCTAGCTAACTGATTAGAAAAGATCTGTATCTGTGGCCATTTCAAAGAGAGGTGACCCAATGGCATGTGTAAATCATTGGACAGTCTCTTTGATATCCCATGCGAGTCAAGTTTTACTAAAGGTAATACAGAAACAGCTACAATCAAACATTGACAGAGAACTTCCAGAGGTTCAAGCCAGATTCAGAAGAGGCTGTGGAATGAGGGATATCATTGCTGATGTCCGATGGATCTTGGCTGAAAGCAGAGAATATCAGAAAGATGTTTACCTGTGCTTTATTGACTACACAAAGGCTTTCGATTGTGTGGATCATGACAAGCTATGGACAACATTGCGAAGTATGAGTATTACAGAACACTTAATTGTGCTCATGAGGAATCTGGATCTGGATCAAGAAGCAGTTGTTTGAACAGAACATGAGAACACTGAATGGTTTAAAATTAAGAAAGGTGTGTGACAGGGTTATATTCTTTCACCATACTTATTCAACCTGTATGCTGAGCAAATAATCCGAGAAGCTGGGTTCTATGAAGAAAAATGTGGCATCAGGATTGGAGGAAGACTCATTAACAACCTGCGATATGCAGATGATACAACCTTGCTTGCTGAAAGTGAAGAGGACTTAAAATATTTACTGATGAAGATCAAAGAGCTCTGCCTTTGGTATGGATTGCAACTCAATGCAAAGAAAACAAAAATCCTCACCACTGGACCAATAAACACCATTCTTATCAACGGAGAAAAGATTGAAGTTGTCAAGAACTTCATTCTTTTTGGATCAACTATCAACACTCATGGAAGCAGCAATCAAGAAATCAAATGACGTATTGCATTCAGCAAATCTGCTGCACCAGACCTTTTTAAAGTGTTGAAGAGCAAAGATGTCAGCATGAGGACTAAGGTGAGCCTGACACAAGCCATGGCATTTTCAATAACCTCATATGCATGCAAAAGCTGGACAGTGAATAAGGAAGACCTTAGAAGAACTGATGCTTTTGATTTATGGTGTTGGAGGAGAATATTGAAAGTGCCATGGGCTGCCAAAAGAACCAACATATCTGTGTTGGAAGAAGTGCAGCCAGAGTGCTCCTTGGGATCCAGGATGGCCAAACTTTGTCTCTCATACGTTGGACATATTGTCAGGAAGGACCAGTTGCTGGAGAAGGATATCATGTTTGATAAGGTGGGAGGGTCAGAGGAAAAGAGGAAGACCTCCAATGAGATGGATTGGCAAAGTGGCAGCATCAATGAGCTGAAGCGTGGCAAGAAATAGAGTGGTTGGCCCAGGATCGGGCAGTGTTTCATTCTGTTTACATAGGGTCACTATGAGTAGGTACCAACTTGATGGCACCTAACAACAACAAGGTATGTTTACATTTTTTCTTTAAGCATTTGACATAATTAATGCTAGATTAACTAATCTATTAGATAAATAATGAAACGTAAACTATTTTTATTAAATTTAAAAATGCTGAGTCACAAACAAAAGCCCTAAGGATCAAACATCAAAATGAACCAGGCATACAAACCATTACTTGTGATATGACGTAGCAGTCTTGAGGTATGATTTCAGCACTGTTGAGAATGCATGATGTAAAGCCTTTGTGAGTGTGTGGGTCTACAAGAGGATTTGGAAGAAAGGGAGCAACTGAAGGTAATAAGCAGGACTCCTTCAGTGAGAATACTACTATTCCTCAAGTTGAACCTTTTCCTCTGACTGCCAAATAATTCTTAAAACTAAAAGCTGTGACATATTCTGATTTATCCTGGTGCTAGTCAGGATGGACAGAGATTATTGAAAAGCCTGTAGACCTCCCTTGAAGTTATTCTCCTCTAGGAGAATAATTTTCCTAGTTCTTCATTAACCAGGAATTTTTTCTGTTACTTGAGTTTCTTTCATTCATTTCACAAATTTTCATTGATTGCTTCTTCATAGCCCTGTGCTTGGGGTGCAATTATATAAAGATTCTGATGAGTACTGATTGAGGGTATTAGCTGACTCGGTTTCTGTCACTCCTACCCATTTAGTGACAGTCGGGTCACAGAGATGACAGACCTCTGTTTTTAGTGTTGTATCAGTGAGTCATACAATTCATTCGTTTCAGTAGTTCCTTTGGGAATAAAGTTAGAATTGTTTACTATTCTATGTCTGAATCATTTAGATCAATATTTTGAGATAGTCATGGAGATTTGTTTTGTTTTAGTCATCAGAAAACTTGTGGGAAAGGGAAAGATTATGGAAGAAAAGTTGAAGAGAAGAAATATCACCAAGGATTATTCTGATTATGCATCACAGATCTATGGGCCTCTGTCTCGCCTTGGTCGCTTCCCGGACAACAACTCAGAGAACTTTGTAGTGAAAAACCACTTTCTCAACACCTATGAAGGTAAGCAACCTATATAATTAAATATTTAATATAAGATGTTTTATCTTAGAAAAATTACGTAAAATAAAATAAATTTAGATGAAAAGCTAAACAATAAACAAAAAATGTTTGTAATAAAGAGCAATAGGTTTAATATTAATATTAATGTAATGAGTTCATACAAACCAATAGAAAATATTAAGACTCAAATAAATAAACATATATACTATAGAAGAATTAATAAGGAGTAAATTTAATTAGCTACTGTGGAGTCTTGGTCTATTGCTGTAGGATAAGCACTCAACCACAAGGTCGGTTTGAAACACAAGACCAGCAGCTCAAACTCACCAGCCGCTCCTCAGAAACCCTATACAGGGTCGCTGTGAGTCGGCACTAACTATATGGCACTTAAAAACATCAAACGTTTAAAAATGTTTACTATTACTAATAATCAAAGATATAAAAAAAGAAGTACAAATGACATACCCTTTTTAACCTACCAAAGTTGACGTAATAAATAAAAATAAGAATACCTAAAGCATTCAAGAGTATGATGAAAGAAGCAAACTCATACATCCCTAATGCAATACCTTATTAATATACATTGTGAATGCAGTTTGACACTATAAATGAAGATTCTTATATTTCTTTCATGAATTTTGGCTCAGCAAATTCCATTTCTGGGCATAAATGCTGAAGATAAAATCTGAAATGTGAACAAAGCTTTCCACATAAATGCTAATAGTGGGTAAAAAGGAAATATCGTAAGTTTTCAGCAGTTGGGTAATGTGCTATGATGGCGGTTTTTGTAACCATTAAAGTAATACAAACCAAACTTTTTATTCATGTAAAATATTCACAAACTATACTGTTAAATCTACCACTCGTCTGTCAGTTTGTCATACTGTGGTGGCTTGTGTGTTGCTGTGATTCTGGAAGCTATGCCATGGGTATTTTAAATACTGCAGGGTCACCTATGGTGGACAGGTTTTAGCTGAGATTCCAGACGAGATGAAGATAGACTAGGAAGAAGGAGAGACAGACTACTTTCTAATATTTAGTTACTGAAAACCTTATGAATAGCAATGGAACACTGTCAGCACCAGATTAATGAATACTGAAACATGATGAAGAGCACCAGAATATTGCCAGATATAGTGCTGGACAATGAGCCCCTCAGGTTGGAAGGTACTCAAAATATGACTGGGGAAGACTGCCTCCTCAAAGTAGAGTTGACCTTGGTGATGGCATGAATGGAGTGAAGCACTCAGGACCTTCATTTGCTTATGGGGCACAGCTTGAAGTGAAAAGAAACTGCTGTAAACTACCATTAATAATCAGAATGTGGAATGTAGGAATCTAGGAAACTTGGAAATTGTAAAAAAATGAAATGGAACGCATAAACATTGATATCCTAGGCATTAATGAGCTGAAATGGACTAGTATTGGCCATTTTGAATCTGACAATCACATGGTTTATGGTACCAGAAATGACAAATTGAAGAGGAATGGCATTGCATTCATCATCAAAAAGAACATATTAAGATCTGCCTTGAAATACAATGCTGTCTGTGATAAGATAATACCCATATACCTGTAAGGAAGATCAGTTAATACAGCTATTATTCAAATTTATGCACCAGCCACTAAACCCAGTGATGATGAAATTGAGAAACTCTACCAACTTCTTCAGTCTGGAATTAATCAAACATGTGATCAAGATGTTATTGATAATTACTGGCGATTGGAATTCAAAGGTTGGAAACAAAGAGGAAGGATCAGTAGTTGTAAAATATGGCCTTGGTGATAGAAATGATGCTGGAAATTGTATGATAGAATTTTGCGAGACCAGTGACTTTTTCATTATAAATGCCTTTTTAAAACCACATAAAACATGACTATTCACATGGACCTCACCAGATGGAATACACAGAAATCAAATGGACTAGATCTGTGGATAGACACAGTGGAAAAGCTCCATATTATCAGTCAAAACAAGGCCAGGGGTAGAATGTGGAACAGACCATCAGTTGCTCATATGCAAGTTCATGCTGAATCAGAAGAAAATTAAAACAAGTCCATGAGAGTCAAATATGACCTTGAATATATCCCACCTGAATTTAGAGCTCATCTGAAGAAAAGATTTGATTTATTAGACGCTACAGACCGAATATCATTGCTGATGTCTGATTGATCTTGGCTGAAAGCAGAGAATATCAGAAAGATGTTTACCTATGCTTTATTGACTATGCAAAGGCTTTCTATTGTGCAGATCATGACAAGCTATGGACAACATTGTGAAGGATGAGTATTCCTGACACTTTATTGTGCTCATAAGGAATCTGTACATGGACCAAGAGGCAGTTGTTAAAACAGAACTTGGGAACACTGAATGGTTTCAAATTAAGAAAGGTGTGCAGCAGGGTTGTATTCTTTCACCATGCTTATTTAACCTGTATGCTGAGCAAATAATCTGAGAAGCTGGGTTATATGAAGAAAAATGTGGCATTAGGATTGTAGGAAAACTCATTAACAACCTGCGATATGCAGATGATACAACCTTGCTTGCTGAAAGTGAAGAGGACTTAAAATATTTACTGATGAAGATCCAAGAACACAGTCTTTGGTATGGATTGCCAAAAGAACCAACATATATGTGTTGGAAGCAGTGCAGCCAGAGTGCTCCTTGGAGGCCAGGATGGCCAAATTTTGTGTCTCATACTTTGGACATATTATCAGGAGGGAGCAGTTGCTGGAGAAGGATATCATGTTTGGTAGGAGGGTCAGAGAAAAAGAGGAAGTCCCCCAGTGAGATAGATTGGCCAAGTGGCAGCATCAATGAGCTCAAGTGTGGCAAGGATAGTGAGGTTGGTCCACGATTGGGCAGTGTTTCGTTCTGCTGTGCATAAGGTTGCTATGAGTTAGTATCGACTCCATGGTACCTGACAACAACAACAGACCGACCGGAGAACAGAAAAGTTGTGGGATGACATCAAAAACTTCATACAGGAAGAAAGCAACAGGCCATTACGAAGACAAGAAAGAAGAAACTACCAAAATGAATATTGGAAGAAACTCTGATTTCTCCAATGTAGAGATACTAAAGCAAGTGGAAGAAGCTAGGAGGTAGAATAGCTGAACAGAAAAATTTAAAGGTCAACTCAAAAAGACAAAATCAAATATTATAATAAAATGTGCAAAGACCTGGAGTTAGAAAACCAAAAAGGAAGAACACACTCAGCATTTTTCAAGCTGAGGGAATAGCCTTGACTCGTGGTATTGAAGTATTTTATGGGCAAATTATTGAATGATGCAGAAAGCATCAAAAGAAGATGGAAGGAATACACAGAGTCACTGTACCAAAAAGAAGTAGTTGAAGATCAACCACTTTAAGAGGCAGCATATGATTCTGAAAGAAGTTCATGATACATTGAAGTCATTGGCAAAGAACAAGGCACTGGGAGTACAAATAGAAATCTTTCGGCAAACTGATGCGGTACTCAAGGCACTCACTCATTTATGCCAAGAAATTTGGAAGATGCTTAACTGGCAAACTGAATGGAAGAGATTTGTGTTTGTGCCCATTTCAAAGAGAGGTTACCCAACGGAATGTGGAAATCATCAGATAATATCATTAATATCACATGTACGTAACATCTTACTAAAGATAATACAAAAATGTCTGCAACCAGACATTGACAGAAAACTTCCAGAGGTTCAAGCCAGATTCAGAAAAGGATGTAGAACAAGGGATACTATTGCTGACGTCGGATGGATCTTGGCTGAAAGCAGAGAATACCATAAAAAAAAAAAAAGCTTGCCTGTGCTTAATTGACTACGCAAAATTTTCAATTGTGTGGATCATGACAAGCAATGGATGACATTGTGAAGAATAAAATTCTGGAAGACTTAATTGTGCTCATGAGGAACTTGTACATAGACCATGAGGCTGTTGTTCAAATAGAACAGGGGAACACCGAATGTTTTAAGATTAGGAAAGGTGTGTGATGGGGTTGTATTCTTTTGCCATATTTATTCAATCTGTATGCTGAGCGAATAATCTGAGAAACTGGATTATATGAAGAAAAATGTGGCATCAGGATTTGAGGAAGACTCATTAACAACTTGTGTTACGCAGATAATACAACCTTGTTTGCTAAAATTGAAGTGAACTGAAAATACTTACTGATGACCATCAAAGACCACAGCCTTCAGTATGAGTTACACCTCAACGTAACAAAAATCTTCACCCCTGGACTAGTAAATAGCATCAAGATAAATGGAGAAAAAATTGAAATTGTCAAAGACTTCACTTCGTTCTGATCAACCATCAGCACTCATATAAGCAGCAATCAAGAAATCAAACACTATATTGCATTAGGCAAATCTGCTGCACAAGACCGCTTTAAAGTGTTCAAGAGCCAAGATGTCAGTATGAAGACTAATGTGCATCTGACCCAAGCCATGGTATTTTCAGTAACCTCATATGCATGCAGAAGTTGGACAGTGAATAAGGAAGACTGTAGAAGAATGGATACATTTGAATTATGGTATTGGAGAATATTGAAAGTACCATGTACTGCCAAAAGAAGAAATAGATCTGTGTTGGAAGAAGTACTGCTAGAGTGCTCCTTGGAAGCCAGGATGGTCAGACTTTGCCTCTCATACTTCAGACATTATTGTCAAGAGGGACCAGTCACTGGAGAAGAATATTATGTTTGGTAAAGTGGAGGGTCAGAGAAAAAGAGGAAGACACTCAATGAGATGGTACAGTGGCAATAGCAATTGGCTCAGGCATAGCAATGATTATGAGGTTGGCCCAGGACTGGGTTGTATTTTGTTGTGTAGTGCATAGGGTCACTATGAGTCGGTACCAAATTGTTGACACCTAACCGTAAACATAGTGTTAAGTGGGAAAAGACTGTGAAAATTGTATTTAGATTACAGTTTCGATTATTTTTTAAATGCCTAGGAAAACTACCAGCACAAGTTGCCATCAAGTTAATTCTTACTCATGGTTACCCCATGTGTACTGAAAGTTAATTCACTAAAATATCAACAGTTTTCTCTGGGTGATTGTGTGTTGTGTGATTTTTTAAAAAACATATTTTGGATTTTTTTAAAATGAATATAATATTACCAGTAAAATATTATATTTTAAGAACACCTCTTAGAAGTTAGTCTCCTGATTTTCAGAAATCATATTACTTCTGAAAAAGGTTCCAGTTTTGGATCTACATAATAAAATTTGGCGTACTTTAAAAAGTAAGGTAAGTTTATTCTAGTTAAAGAACATCTAAAATGAGAAATCCATTTTTAAGGGCATTGATAAAAAATTCACTGTGAAATGTTTTTAAAATGTTAGCAAATATATTATCCTGTTGGAGAAAACAATGGATCCAACCCCTACTAACAACAAATTCATCATCTCAATCGCCTCCACTTGCTGCACATTGTGCTTTGAACCTTTTTTTTTTTGCACTGAAGTAAGGCATAATAAGAACCATATGTACCTGTAGGTTTACCTACAAATTCTACTTAAAAGACATACTTGGGAACTGATCTCATTTGATACCTGGAAACTGCCTGTATTTAAATGTCAGCTGACAAGTTTAAGCATCACGTGACCAAGATCATGAGTTAATGGTCACAACTGCTAAACTTGTGGCTCTGTCTGGCATCTTTAGATAGATTGGTGGTAGAATTTCATAAAATCACTAATTTTCTGTTGGATATTTATTACTTCTCTTGTAGGGCACTATTTTTACTTTAGGATAGATTTCTTATTTTATAATTCAAGTTTAAAACCATGAACTAATTGTACTGAAATTTTCTGTATTTTTCAAGGACATTCCATTCTATGCTATGAGATATACCTTTTCATAATTCTAAATGAAACCATTTTTCAAAACAGCTATTAAAATTAACAATATACTTTGAAAATGCTCAATTTAAACATCAAATACTAAAAACATGTGCTTTCTTCCTATAGGTTTAGTTGAACTTGAGTCATGTCTCCCAGATTTTGTGACACAACCCCGAATCAGACCTCTAAAACCAAAAGTCATAACCACCAAAACTGGTTTCCTAAAGAGGACAGCAAGGCTGGAACATGAGTTGGCAGAGGTTCATAAGGTACAAGAGTTATCTTGAAGCTAAGATGTGACATTTGCAGAGAAATACAAAACTCCAGACTTTGTACTTTGTCATGGGCAGCAATGTCCAGTGCTTCTCAACACACACCCTTACATTCTTTTCTTCTTGCTCTACTTTTCACTTCAGAAGGTTGTCTGTGCTATGCTGAGCCAGTATGGCTTTTCCCCTCAATTCAAACCACAGGAACACCTCTTTGAAGTTAGTCTCCTGATTTTCAGAAATCATGTTACTTCTGAAAAAGGTTCCAGTTTTGGATCTACATAATAAAATTTGGCATTCTGCTGAGCTGTACCAAGTTTCTAGTATTAGGAATTGCAGTTGGCTTTAAGAATGTATTAGGCCCCATTTTCTCCATTTTGTATTTGATATCACAGCATCATGAAGAAAGGGAATTGTCTTCAACTCCTCCCTCAACTAGTTTAAAAACACAGCAAAACAAAAAAAGGTTGATGGCCACCCCCATGAACAAGTTGAACAACATTCACCAATTGGGTTTTCTCTTATGGCAACTGGACTACAGATAAACAGACTTGAAGACTATAATCTTTGGATTCTGATATTGATGTTAAGTTTTTCGCGTGCCTCAGATTCACTGGAGCAGCATTAAAAACACATATTTCAGGGTCCATTCCCAAAGATTCTGATTCAGCAGATTGTGGGATGGGACTCAACTATTTGAACTTCTAACAAATTTCCAGTTGGTGCTGATGCTACTAGTCCACAGACCAAATTTTGAGGCCTGCTGATTTCTAGCACACTCCCATCACTTTCCAGCATGTTGGTTTGGTCAGTTAATTTTGCTACTGCTGTTGTCAGGTGCCGTCGAGTCAGTTCCAACTCACAGCAACCCTGTGCACAACAGAGCGAAACACCACCAGGTCCCGCACCTTCCTCACAATTGTTAAGTTAAGTTTGAGCACATTTTTGCTGCCACTGTGCATTCCACTGCTCTTCATAATGTTTTCATCTTCTGTCACTGTATCTGACAGTCTTTCAATGCTACTCATAAGGTTTCCAGTGGCTGAATATTCCAAAGTAGTCGGCCTCTCCTTCTTCCTAGTCTGTCTTAGTCTGGAAATTCTACTGTGGGTGACTCTGCTGGTATTTAAAATACAGGTGACATAGCTTTGGACTAATTGTTTCCTTCAGTCTTTGATTTTATTCACTTTTATTTCCTCTGGATTAGAGAGACCAATAGTTACATCTTTGATTACCACTTGCTAACTTTTAAGACCATGTAAGTGTACTTGGTTTTTTTTTGCATTGGTACATGAAGAAAAATGGGTGCCCTGTAAAGATTTTTTTAAGATAAAGAAACATAAAAGAAGTCAGAAGAAACCAGTTCAGTACTGTAGTGACTTCAGATAGAAACTCTCACAAAATTGCCGTGTTTGATGGAGGAATGAGCAGGAGCATTGTCATGGTGGAGGACTCTGGTGAAGCTGTGGAGAACTGTTTTAAAAACATTCTCATAATAAGCAAATGTTATCGTTCTTTGCCCCTCCAGAAAGTCAACAAGCAAAATGCCTTGAGCACCCCCAAAAGGTCATTCCATGACCTTTAGGTTTGACCGCTTTTGTTTTGACTGGACTATTTCTGCCTCTTGGTAACCATTGCTGTGATTGATTGTGCTTTGCCTTCAGGATGATACTGGTAAAGCCATGCTTTATCTCCTGTTATAGTTCTTCCAAGAAATGTTACAGGATCTCAATCCCAGTTGCTTAAAATTTCCTGTGGACTAATTGTTTCTTTGCAAAGTTGATTTTCTTCACTTTTAATTCCTCTGAATGAGAGAGGCCAGTAGTTGCATCTTAGATGACCACTTGCTAAGTTTTAACACCCAGTTGCATTGGTTTATAACATTGTCTTTGGGAACTATGTTATGCCAATTGACTCAGCTGTCCACTGAGATTGGTCCTAAATTTCCAAGTCCAGTGATTCATTCTCACAGGTATTTAGTTTTGGCTAAGAAGTTTTCATAAATTTGCCCCCTGTTAGCTTTACTATATACATGGATATATTTACAGCACATGTTGTTAAATGCTATCAAGTCATTTCTGACTCATGGAGACTCTTGATGGATTTCCAAGGAGCGACTGATGGGTTTGAACCACCACCTTGGTTGGCATTTCATTGCTGATACTACAACACCACACCAAGACTCTGAAATATCCTATGCCAAACCTATAAATAGTTGTATCACAGTTCACCTACCCGTAGCTGTTCAGCTTGCATGTCTGCATATTTATTCACTTGTAAATTAATTCC